TTATGCTAATGAGTTCCTGCTGGGCGTGGCCAACTTGGGAGCCAGCCGGAACTCCATTCCTGTACGTTCCTGCCCAAAAATAGCCCTGGTGGGAGGGCTTCTGGTGTCCTGGCCTCACTGCTGGACCTCCTGATGGCACCTGGGGTTTTTGGCCACTGTGTGACAGAGTGTTGGACTAGATGGGCCATTGACCTGATCCAACATTGGCTTCTCTTATGTTCTTCCCCCGCTGAGGGCCCTCCCTGCCCCCCCCCCCCCAAATCTCCAGGTATTTCCCAACCCCGAGCTGGCAAGCCAAACTACACGTGCATAGCCTATTTGAAAAAAAATCACAAAATCAGAGGAGGAAAAGGGGAAGGAGTTAGTTACCCAGGAGAATCATGATGCAGAGCAAAATGGCGACGAGGGCTCCTGTGCTGAGGCCCGCTGGAAGGAGCAGTGCTTCCGCATTACAGGACTGCATGTTTCCCCGGCTGTCGCAGGCGCACACCTTGATGGTCAGTGTGCCGGTGCTGCTCTGGATGGGGTAGTCATTATCAAATATGACCACTGGCAGGAGATAGGTATTCATTTTAGTGCGGCTGTATCCGTTCCTTCTGGTTATCACCCCAGCTGTGTTATCTTGGCCGGAAGAACGGGAGAAATGCAAAAAAGACATTCAGGACCTCTAAGGGAAAAGATTAAGAAAGGGCGTTCGGGAACGAGGATGCCAAGCCTACCTTTGTTGTCTACAATGGAGAAGTTGGGGTGGATTGTATATTCAGGCGACAGCTCAAAGAAGAATTTGTGCCCACGAGGAGGGTCATCTTTGTCCACTGCGCTCACCGTTTGTATGAGCTGCCAAGATACATCAGGGAAATGTTGTTAGAAAGGATTGAAATAAACTTCCCTTTTTTATTCTCTGATAAAACAATCGGTTCTGAGACGTGGCTGAAAGGGCTCGTGAAGAACCAGCCTAGTAGATTCTTTCCCCTGTTGTGTAGCCCTAATACAGCTTATTGTTTCATATAAAGGAGTCGATGTAACTAACTGCAGGAGAGTTGTATGGTTAGTGTGGACCACCAAAAAAAAAAGGCAAAGAATTGCGTTCTCAGTCAAATCAAGTCTGAACACTCTCTAGGATCTAAAAAGACTAAACTGAGGCTATCATACTTTGGCCACAAGACAAGAGTTAATGGCAGGGCTATTTTTGGGCAGGAATAATGCATTAGCTTAATAGGCCACACCCAACAGCAGAAACTCATTAGGATTGGCTACATTACATTAGGGGTGTGTGGCCTAACATGCAAAGGAGTTCCTGCTCCAAAAAAGCCCTGGGTTTTGACAACAAGCAAGGTAAACAGAATAAGAAGGGAAAGGTGGGTATGGCTGGATGAGCACACTTCTGGTAACATGGGGGTGTGGCCTAATATGCCAATGAGCTGTGCTGTCAGGGGTGTGGCCTAATATGCTAATGAGTTTGGCTATTGGGTGTGGTCTATTATGCTAATGAGTTTGGCTATTGGGTGTGGTCTATTATGCTAATGAGTTTGGCTATTGGGTGTGGCCTATTGTGCTAATGAGTTCCTGCTGGGCTTTTTCTAAAAAAAAAACCCTGGTTACTGGAAAAGACAATGATTCTAGGGGGAAGTCAAAGGCAGCAGGAAAAGAAGACCCACCATGAGATGGGTTGACTCAGTTAAGGAAGCCATGAGGGCCTGCAGTTTGCAAGGCCTGAGGAAGACTGTTAAGGATAGGATGTTTTGAAGGACATCAATTCATAGGGTTGCCCTAAGTCAGAAGTGACTTGAAAGCACTTCACACACACACACACACACACACACTCACACACACACACAGAGGGGGGGGTAATTCTCAACATGATCCCATCTGTGGTAAAGCCCCAGGTTTGCAGAACTGGCATCATCCTATCCGGGACATTGGGCCGGCACTCTGGTATTTGGGCAAAAACTTTGTGTTAGAAGCAACGTTCCCTCTAAGCTGAGTTAGTGTGAGCTAGCTCACACTTTTTAAACCTCCGGCTCACACATTTTTGCCTTAGCTCAGGAAGGATGGGGCTCCAGAGCAAACGAATTTATGCAGGAGCCAAATCGCTCTCTCACAACTTTAATGCCAGTAGCTCACAAAGTAGAATTTTTGCTCACAGGACTCCACAGCTCAGAGGGAACACTGATTAGAAGCCAAATTTACCACAGAGTTCTTTGCCCGAATACAGAGCGTCACCCTGACATCCCAGATGTGATGACATCACTTCCGGGTCATGTGGGGAGTGACGGGGACACATTGCTGTATGTCGGATGGGACTCACAGCTGCTCCTGGTAAGTCCCCCCCCCATCTCCCATTGGTTGCCAGGAGGGACCTGGCAACCCTACAGATACTCAGAATAACTCACCTCACAGGGTTATTGTGAGGGTATAATGGAGGAGAGGGGAATGAGGTACGCTGCTTTGGGTCCATGTTGCAGGGGGAGGCAGGGTATAAATGAAATACATCAATTATAAATGTAGCTGAAGATGGTGAGCAGCTAAACGGTGGTTCAGTTGGTGAGTGGGAAGGGGAAAAGGAAGCAAGGAAAGGAGAGGATATGAGGCTGCCAGGAGGAAGAAAAGAGGACATGGTGTGGGGAGCGTTACATCCTTAAGGAAGGGTAAGGATCAGTAGTGGAGGCAGTGATCTCCACAAGAATGGCATTTATCAGAACACAACAGCTGACTGGCCACAACCAAGCCCCAGTAACTCAAAGGCTGATTTCGCACTAGAGCTGCCTCGTGGTTGCACCGCCATTTGCCCTGACACTATTGGTCAATTTCACACCCGAAGCTGCAGGGCTGCATTTTGACTCGTGGCTTCGCCCGATTTCCCCCGTAGTTTCTTGATCTTGTTTTTTGAGGATCACGAAAGTGCAGAGGAAATCGGGCGAAGCCACGGGTCAAATGCAGCCCCGCGGCTTCGGGTGTGAAATTGACCAATAGTGTCAGGGCAAATGGCGGTGCAACCGCCAGGCAGCTCTAGTGCGAAATCAGCCCACCTCCTCCTTCAGTTATGGACACAAGACTTGAGCCTCTCCTTGCTGGAGATCCTCTGGAAGTCATCCTTAAAACGACAGCACCAAAACGCCACCTCTTTCTCATTCCATTTGGTAATACTCTTTGGTAATATGTTGAGGAATACTCTTCATGTGTATTGCTCACTTAATCCCTGGCTTCAGTCATAATATCATGATGGGATGCACACCGGGCATGAAAGAGGAAACGGCGGGGGAGGGGGGGATGCGATGCCCCCTGCAAGTCCTGTGGGGCCTCTGCTTGTTGCAGCAGAATTCCTAACATTTTTGGGTGTGCCAACGTGCCATCTTAATATAATAGTTTCCAAAATGTGTTCTTGTATCACAGTTGTGCTTTCCCTTTCTCCCCAATGAGGACTCAAAGTGGCTTACAATTGTCATTCTCCCCTCCAGCATTTTAGATCCACAACAGCAGCCGCGTGAGGTAGGTTAGACTGAGAGGGCGTGACTGGCCCCAGGTCACCCAGCCAGCCAGCTCCCATGACACCAGTGTGGACGCGAACCCAGGTTTCTCAGATCCCAGTCCCGCATTCTAAGCACTACACCACACTGGCTGAAACATCTCTGGGGTCATTGCTCACTTATTAAGTGCTCTTTCGATAAATGTCCTTGAAAGACAACTTATAAATTGTGACTAAATTTCCCAGTATTTTTCGGGGGGGGGGGGGGTAAGTCAAATAATGCAGGAGTGAGGTTTTTTCGGTTTGGTTATCATTGCAAATAAACTGTGTCTGCTGTTAAACACTGCCCATTTGGGGGTCCTTCAACAAGACAAATGGTACTGTGAAAAATAATGTCTGGACCGAAGTATGAAAACCACTTTCCTAGAGGAAACATTTCTGCTATCGAGACTCTTATTGGGAGGTGTCGAACCATCCATGGGCTTGCAGAGTGTGACTTTCCTGCTTTCCCCATCAGGCTGTAGACTGCTGAACTCAGGAGCAGCATCAGAGGTAATGTGGAGGTCTGAGGGCAGCCATTTCCCCACCGGGGAAAGGGGATTGCCTGCATCTGGCTCTCATTTCCCACCGCTGCTCCTGCAGGTGGCAGGACGGCAATAATCGAAAAAAGAATTGCTGCCAGGTGATGGCATGGCATTCCCTTCTCAGGAAAACCTAGACATCAGTGACATCAGTCCTCTCTAGGAATCACCAGAAACTCTATTACCCAATGGTGCCCCCATGTCCCACCCCTTGGACTCCTACCAGTTGCCTGGCCATGCCTGGCAGACCTTGAAAGCCTGCAGTGAGAGAAGACATTGGTGGAAGAAATTGCTGTCCAGTCTTCAAAAGACACAAGTGCCATTAAGACAATGGATCTAGGTGGTTGGATATACACAACTATTATCATCGTGGACCTGTAATTTACAATTCTTCTCCACATTATTTCTTGCCATATTGACTTACTCTATTGATTAACGTCTGCTTATGTATTAAGATTCATGGGGCCACAAACTGGTTTGGTTAATTATTTAAACACTTTACCCCACTTCTGCAAATGCTCAAGGGGGCTTAGAAAAATTAAGACACAAAACTTCAAAAACACAGCATAACAGGACCACAGCCTTGAGGCCAACTAAGACAACGTACCAAGAGAATTAGCACAAGCCAAACTGTTCACCTTCCCTGATCTCTATGGTTTTCATTCCACTCCTGTCTAAATTCATACCACTGAAGTATTATATGAACCTTAGCTCTGAAGTACTCTGGAAGTACTCTTAGAAGATACACAGAAACCTGTCACTTATGCGGTAACAAAATTCTGTACTATAGCAATTAGGAAGTGGAACTGTTTGGAATTATTGTAATCGTTTTGTTGGGTTTTGTTTTTTTTAGTGCCGAGTTTTATGAATATTAGATGGTTTAAAGAGATGCTTTGACCTTTTTTCTGGATTTTGACCATAATAAACTTTGACTGACAGACTGGCTCTCACAGTAGAGATCAGGAGGATTCCAAGAAGGTTATGCAACATCACTTCCGGTTTCTCGGCCGGAAATAACATTGTGGTATCATGCTATACCATCCCCCCCCCCAATACCCCACTGATCACCAGCAGGGAGACAGGGAGCACTGGGTGGGGTTCCACTGCTGGAAAGCAGGCAATTCCCAACCCTAGACCCCTCCCAACAGAGAGAGAGAGAGCGCATCAACAACTAGCCTGATACCCGTGCTTTGCTATGGTATTTAAGTTCCATAAATAGAGTTATAATACTGATGATGTGAAATTTGAAAGGTAACATTTGTTCTAGGAATTCTAACAGAGAAGATTGTAGTGCAAAGAATGAAGTGAGACATACATACTTCCCCCCCCCTCTCTACTGAAGGACCTCTCTCTAGACCACATTGGTGGTTCTGCCCTCAAGTGCTAGGATCACCAGGCTGTTTGGTGAGCTCACTCTGGATCAGGCAACATTTAAGAAGCAGTCGTCTGTTAAGTCCGCTCCTGCCACCTTCCACGAAAGTGATGGCCTCTGTACTTGTGTCCCTGGATTGTTTTGCTCATATGGAGACTGTGTTGTTCTGAGCACCTCAGGGTGAACTTGCTGGTACTTGGCCTGTGCTGCTCAGTGCACTGCAGGAGTACTATGTGCAAATGTCTTTGCCACATTCCTAAGTTGCCTCCTCCTTGTAGTGTTGGTGTATCTGGCTCAACGTTTGCCAGGAGTTTTCTTGGGGGCCGTAAGAGGTGAGAGGTGTGAGGGGGAGTCGGTGTGAGAGAGTGGTGATGTGGTGGACATTTCTTCAGGTTCATGAGGGAGGCATGCATCGAAA